TGTGTACCATGTGTGTGCAGTACTCAAGCAGGCCAGAAGATGGCATCACTTTTTCTGGAGCTGGAGTTATAGAGGATTGTGAGCTACCATACTGGTGCTGGGCATGAACCCAGGGTCTCTGGCGGGGGACCCAGTTCTCTTCGCTGCTGAGCTCTCTCCAGGCTCCTCCCCTTTAAGTTTAATGTAGGCAATCGAACGCCCTGTACTGGTGGGAGTAGCAGGAGTGAGGCTGGCTGTCATCGGAAACAAGGACCCTATCAATGTGCATAGTTATTGATCCAGTAAATTATGCTGAAGTGATACAGACATGTGCTTCAGGAGAACAATCAGATCTGTGCAAATGTCTTTCCCCCTCTAATTATGTCCAGAGGCGTTTTAGCTGTTGAAGTTAAAAGGAAGAAATAAGGGAAATGACTGAACATTTAGCTCCAGAGAACCAGCTAAATAAATGAGAGTAACCTGTCTTAATAGGCTAGGGTGCAGTATTTTCAGAAGAAAGACAGAGCTGGGAGACGCCTCTGTCAGTCAAGAGCCTGCTGTGTGTTGTGCAACCATGAGGACCTGGGTTTGGACCCCTAGCACACATGTAAAAGCTGGAGGAACATTTGTAACAGGGGGCGGGGCACAGCTCTAAGTGGATCCCAGGGACTCAGTGAGAGACGCAGTCTCAAAGATAAAGCAGATGATATAGAAAAACATTTGCCATTGACCTCTGACCTCCACATATGTACACAGGAGCTGTCACACAAACACACATGCAGTATACATACACACTGACTGTTCATTTACTTTTTTTTCAAGACAGGGTTTCTCTGTGTAGCCCTGGCTGTCCTGGGACTTGCTATGTAGACCAGGTTAGCCTTGAACTCAGAGATCCACCTGTCTCTACCTCCTGAGAGCTGGTACTGAAGGCGTGTGCCACCATGCCCAGCTACATAGTGGCTTAAAAAAAAAAAAGTTAGAAAGAGAGTGTTTCCCAGCATGCTATCACACACCTATAATCCCAGCACAGGGAAGGCAGAGGTAGGAGGATCAGAAGTTCAAGGTCATCTTTGAACTTCATAGGGCATTCAAGGCTAGCCTGGGCTACGTGAGACACTGTCTTAAAAAGCGTAACAGGTGCTAGAGGGATGGATGTCTCAGATGTTAAGAGCATTTGCTGATCTTCCAGGGGACCAGAGTTCAGTTCCCAGCTAGTCAAGAGGCTCATGGTCATTTCTAACTCCAGTACCAGTGGAAACAACACCCTCTTCTGGCCTCTGCAGGCACTGCACACACACGATGACTTTACATACATGCAGGCAAACATGCATATATATAAAATACAGAAATCTTTAAAAAAAAGAAAGCTCATACTTTGTGTTTTTAGAAAATGTCTGCACCCTATGTATGAAGCATCATCCAAAGCAGGCTCACTCCTGCAGTGTCCTGAAGAGAAAAGGAAAGCAAGCAAAGGCAAATCCATGATAACAAGCCCAGAAAAACCATCTAACCACCACCAACAAAGGCACCGGTAAAGGAACAATGCTTTAGAGAGAGCCACATCAGCGGAGCCCAGTGACCATGATGCTTACCTCACAGCCTGGTTAAGCATTCAGGCTTTTGAGCAGTAATTCAGCTGAGACCTATTCCGGATGAGGACTCAGAGGCCTCCAGTCTGAGGAGACAGGACCAGCTGAGGATCCGATGAGGTGAGATAGCTGTGGCTTGTTCTGTCTCTCTGATCTATCAGCATGGACCCCAACAACTCGTCTCAGGTTTGATTTTATTAATAAGAACTTTTAAGATTCCTGCAACACACAGAGCTCCACTGTGTGTGACCCTGTCAGGTTTAGGGTCCTGAATCTCACTTTCCTCATTAGTGATAAGGACAATGGTACCCACCCACAGAACAGTTATGAGGATTTAAGACAACGATTTAGTTATTATACCTCTTAATGTGTATTGGTGCTTTACCTGCATGATGTAAGTGTACCATGCGCCTGCCCTGGTGCCCAAGGAGATCAGAAGAGGGCATTGGATTCTCTAGAATTGGAGTTACAGACAGTCGTGAGCCCCCATGTGGGTGCTGGGAATTGGACCCTGGCCCTCTGGAAGAGCAGGAACCATGCTCTGAACCACGGTGCTCTCTTCAGAGCCTAGATAGGATATAAACAAACTCTTCCAACTGGGCGTGTATGTGTTGGCGGTGGGGTGTGTTAGCCCGGGACTCTGCAGAGCTGAGGGTGAGGCTGGAGCAAGGCTAGCCTGTCCCGTGGGGGGAGGGCACTGAGGACAGTGTGAGCGAGCACATAGGAAATGAGTAGACACAGGAAAGCAGGAGAGGGGAGGGGGAGGAGAGGGAAAAAGAGAGGGAGGGAGAAAGGAAAGGGCAGGGAGAACAGAGGAGGGGAGAGGGAGGAAGGGGAGGGAGGGGGAGGGAGGCGAGCTCTGCCCTGCCTTCTGCCTCGGCCTCCTTCTCAGACATCTGCTCTCAGATGGCCGCGGCTGCCCATCGGTCAGGCAGCCCCAACTCATGCTCCAGCTGCTCGCCTTTGTTTTCTTCCTCCTGGGTTGATGGCTCTGCCTCAGGCTTTGGGGCTGGCTCAGATCTGCCTCCTGGGCCTGTCCCAGTGGAAACAGGGGCCAGAGGCCAAACCAGACCGGCCAGTCTGGTCCAGTCCAGGTCTGCACTCATGCCAGGACCACAAATGTTGCCCTGGCTAAGGCAGATCACGTGGCTGAACCTAAAGTAAATAAATATGGAAGATATTTACATTCCATGAACTCTAGCAGCAAATCCTCATGCAGGGAGAGAGGGAAAGGCAGAGCTGGAACAACATTCCTTCTAGAACGTCTTGTCGTCGGACAAACTTGAGGCCGTCAGGGGCTATGGACGGCTGCCCCAAGCAGTTTGGAGAGCTTAGCCTGGGGGGCACACATCAGGGCAGGGAGGGGAGAGGAGCCTCTAGAGACAAACAGTGAACCTGGTACAAGATCATGAGTTAGTGCTTTTGGGTTTGGATAGTGACTGGTGCATAAAAATACCACGTAAGTGTTTTGTTTGTTGTTGTGTTTTGAGACAGGGTTGTCACCACACTGGCTGCCTGGAACTCACCATGTAGACAAGGCTGGCCTTGAACTCATACAGATCTGCCTGCCTCTGCTTCCCAAGTGATGGGATTAAAAGCGTGCACCACCAGGCTGGGCATCCTGTTTATTACACCTGAAATTTCAGCCCTTGGGAGGGGTGGCGGGAAGCGTAGGAGTCAGAGATATCCTCAGCTACAAAATGAGTTTGAAGCCAGCTCTGGCTACTTGAGACCTTACCTTAAAAATAAATAAATAAATAAAATTAAAATATTCATAACAAACTATTCCATGAAGGCAGGTATGGAACAGGTAAAAACTGTAGTATCATTTAAAAATACAATTACAATGAAGAAAGGTTGCAAAGAAATTGAGCAAAACGCTCTTTAAACTCAGCATGATGGTGCATGTCTTTTAATTCCAGCACTTGGGAGGCAGAGGCAGGCAGATCTTTTTAGAGTTTGAGGCCAGCCTGGTCTACAGAGCGAGTTCCTGGGCAGTCAGGGCTATGTAAAGGCCTAATCTCAAAAAGCCAAATAAAATAAAATAAATACCCCCCCAACCCAAAACATTTTTGCTGTGGCCCAGAGGTAGAATCATGGGGGGTTTTCCTTCCTGCGGTTTGCATTGGGAAGATCGCCCCATCTGGCCTCTCCGGTTGAACACTGAACAGCACCAAGAGGTCCGCTTACTCCCCTTTGCTCCTCTGAGCTGCACAGCCTCCTTGGCTGCCTGCTGCGTCTTCAACATGACTGCCTGGCACTCATGGGACCAGACAGACAGAAGCATCTTTAAGGACTGCAAGCTGCTTTAGCAGTCAAAGACAGAGGAAGCTGGCCAATCTTGCTGTTTTTGTTAGCAGTAATGGAGAGGTATCATCTCTGGACTTGGAAGCAGTGGTAAAGTGTGCCCACAGTTGTAGTGGGTAGCCATTCCAGCTTTGATCTGGAAGTTCCAACCCCCATTGAGGCATCAGTAACTATTACGCCCACAAGGCGGGGCCAAGAGAGGACCCTGAAGACCTGAGATCCAGACACACTGCTTTCTTGGTTCCTGAACCCTGGACGCTGGAGGTAAACCGAGCAGAGTTCTCCAGAGAACACCGCTGGACTGCGCTACACCTTTCCCAGACCCTGCAACCTACCTATCCCTTCATTTGCAAGTTACTCCACTAAATAAACCTCCCTTTTAACTATGTGGAGTGGCCTTAATAATTTCAGCAATACACAGTCATGCGCCAAAACTGCAGAACTGAAATGTATTGGTTTACAAGAACCTCATACATAAATAGGTTTGGCATGAGTGTGTTAGATTTTACGTTTTAGAAACCCTGAGGTATATTTTATATACCAGAAAATTACAGAACTGTTGGATCAGAAATGCCAGATGGAACAATAAAATGTTTGCATTAAACTCACCTTGGGTGCCCACTTTGGCAGCACGTGTACTAAAATTGGAATTATACAGAGAAGATTAGCATGGCCCCTGCACAAGGATGACACACAAATTTGTGAGGTGTTCCACACTATGAGGGTGACCCTAGTGAAGACTCCTAGTAATGGAGGATACAGAGCCTGAACCATCCATCTTCTGTAACCAGGCAAGGCTTCCAGTGGATGGACTGGGACACCAACGCAGCCACAAAACTTCGACCTATAATTTGCCCTGCCTGCAAGATGTGCTGGGGTAACGGTGGAACAGAGCTTGTGGGAGTGGCCGACCAATGACTGGTCCGACTGGAGGCCCACACCATGAGAGGGAGCCCATGCCTGACGCTGCCTGGAGGACCAGGAACCAAGGGCTGGATAGAACCAAACACAACTGGCAAAAAACAAAAGGCAAAACAGAACAATGAAATGATTTCTGATGATATTCTGGTATAATCATAGATTGGCGCCTAGCCCAATCATCATCAGAGAGGCCTCACCCAGCAACTGATGGAAACAGATGCAGAGACCCACAGCCAAACATTAGGCAAAGCTAGGGGAACCCCTTGGAAGAGGGGGAGGAAGGATTGTAGGGACTGGAGGGGTCGAGGACACCACATGAACATGGCTCACAGAGACTGAGGCAATCAATCAAGGACCTGTCTGAGCTAGGTTCTCTACATAGATGTTATGGTTGTGTAGCCTGGTGTCTTGTGGGACGGCTAACAGTGAGAGTGGGGGTGTCACTGACTCTTGCCTGCTCTTGGGCTCCTTTTCCTCCTTCTGGGTTGCCTCGTCCAGGCTTGATGTGAGGGTTTGTGCGTAGTCTTATTGCACCTTGTTATTCTGTATTTGGTTGATTCCCATGAGAGGCCTGCTCTTTTCTGAAGGGAAACAGAGGATGAGTGGATCTGGGGGATAGGGGAGGTGGGGTGCAGGAGAGGCAGGGAGGAAGGGAGAGGAAACCGGTAGGGAAGTGATATACGAGAGAAGACTATAAATACATAAACAAACAAACAAACAAACTCACCCCAGGGGAGATTTAAGATAAGAAGATAAAGGCGACGGCTCAGTTAGGAAAGTGTGTGTCAGGAAGTGTGGGGACTTGAGTTCAAGCCCAGACCCCAAGTGAAAATGGAGCCAGGCATGGTGGCAGGCATTGGTAGGTGAAAGCAGGTGGGTTCCTGGGGCTGGCTGGTCCAACCAGTCTAGTCTACATGATAAGTTCCCGGCCAGTGAGACCTTGCCTCACAAAACAAGATAGAAAGGTTGGAGGGACAGCGGGACATTAGCTGTCATCCCAGAGGGCCTTCCTTTCCTCACCCATCTCTCTTTCTTTCTGTTGTTTTTGCACTTGAGACATACAGAGACATATAAATAAAGATAAAAAAATCTTTAAACTCACACACACACACACACACACACACACACACACACACACACACACACCCCAACCTGAGGTGGGCAGTTCATAAGGAATGAGCCTTCCTGCACACTTGTACATTTTCTTTGTCTTTTTTAAAAATAATTTATTTTTGTTCTATGTGCATTGGTGTTTTGCCTGCATGTATATCTGTGTAAGGGTGTCAGATCTTGGAGTTACAGATAGTTGTGAGCTGCCATCTGGGTGCTGGGAATTGAACCGGGGTCCCCTGGAAGAGCAGCCGGTTCTCTTAACTGCTGAGCCATCTCTCCGGTCCTGTCCTGTGCACACTTTTAGATGCATGCACACATAAATGGCATCCAGCCCAGTCAGTCCTGAGCTTCTGCCTCCACGGTTCCTATCTGTGGGGCAGAAAGCGTCCTGCAACCTAAGTTCCTGTAGTTGGATGTTTTGTCCTTTGCTGCCTGTCCCTCGGAGCCCCTCCCTTCCTTATAACACCCTCTGGGTGCCCACAACCCACCCACGCACCTCTAGTTCAGACTCCTGCACGGAGTCTAACGGTCCTTTAGGTGACTCACTTGGGAGAGCATCCATAGGAACCATGGATGTCCTTCACTTTGGTTCCACTAGCCCCACTCTTGGGGTCAGACATCAAAGCAGAAGTTCATTTGGTGCCAGAAATCTGCTTGATATTGGTCTGGGAGGAGGGGGAGGGGCACACACACACACCCACACCCCTTGGCAGTCCCCAGCCTGTCAGAACAGGCTAAGGAGGAGGGAGAGGGTGTCCTCAGGGAACACTGCCTACGCTCTGCTCTGCAGATCCCAAGCTGCTCTAGCCAGTCTTTGTAAGTGACAAGGACCCATCATTCTTTCTTTCTTTTTTCTCTTTGTTGCCCTGGCTGTTTTGAAACTCGCTCTGTAGCCCAGGCTGGCCTCCAACTCACAGAGATCCACCTGCCTCTGCCTCCCGAGTGTTGGGATTCAAGGTGTGCGCCACCTCTGCCTGGCAAAAATTGGCCCTTCTTAACTGAACTTGCCCAATTTGAGAACTTAGGATTTTTTTTTAAAGAAAACTTCTGCCTCCCTGCCCCCCTTTCTTTTTGCTGTTTTGGTTCTTGAAACACGGTCTCATGTATTCCAGGTTGGCCTTGAACTTACTGTGCAGCCAAGCATAACCTTGAACTCCTGATCCTCCTGCCTCAGCTCCACCTTCTAAGTGCATGAGTCACCACACCTGGCTGAGGATTTTCTACTCTTTTTAAAAAAAGATTTATTTTATTTTTAGTGTGTGTGTCTATGGGTGTTCATGCAAATGTACATGGGGGTGTCCACAGAGGCATCAGATTCTCTAGAGGGAGGGCTACAGGTGAGCCTCCTGACGAAGAGGCCTGACTTAACATCAGTGCAGCCATGACAGGCTGCAGGCTGACAGCTGGGACCAGGAAAAGCCACAAACTACACCCTCAGGGAACCAATCAGAATTGAGACAAACAGGTACTAGATGCTCTGGAACATAAAGGACAGTTGACATCACTTGTATATAAGTTACCAGTCTCCCTGCGGCAACGCCAGTACCAATCCCTGTTTGACAAGACTTCTGTTACCTCACTCCTGCCAAATCAGGAGCTCAACCTCCATCTGAATCCAGAATTCCCCTACCCCCCCATCCCTCTTAAAAACACTGCCATAACTGAGCTCAATGCTCTCCCTGATCCGACTGACCGCTGTGTCAGAATGGACAGGAAGCCCAAGCTTAAGCTTGCAATAAAGGCTCTTTACACCTTACATTTGCGTACATCTTACATTTGCGTACAAATTCGGACTCCTGGTGATCTGGGGGGTGGGGGCTCATGACTCGGGCATAACACCAACATGGGTGCTGGGAATTGAACTTGGGTCTTCTGAAATTGCTCCTCAGCTGAAGGATTTTCTCCTCTCCTCCTCTTCTCCTGCTCCCCCCTCATTTTTTTTTCCTTTGGAGATTAAAATGGTGGCTGCATTACAAAGCTCAGTTGGGGTGTAGGAAAGTCAGAGGAGCATGTTAGGAGTTGGAGGGGAGAGGGGACACAGATACACAGACTTGAACTCCCACACCGTCACCTGCTCCTCTCAACTCCTGAGGCACCTTCTACTTTTCTTTACCTTCTTTTATCCTTGAGAGGACACAGCATTTGCTTGTCACTCTATGGTTAAAAGCCTTGCTTTCTCATAGTGGAAGGAACACAGCTCTGAACCACACGAGGCATATGGCTTATGTTTGATGGTTGACTTGGGTACTTTCCATACAAAATTCCAAGGTGGTAGCTGGAATTCTCGGCAGAAACAGGCAAATTGTAAGTTCGAAGTCTAGAGCCCCCAGTCCAACTGGACAGTGCTATTTATTGTCCGAGGTCAACTATCCCACCGTGAGGAAGGCCAGTCTGGTGAAATGCAAGGTTAAGTGTGTGTGTACATGGTAGAGCATCCAACCCTTTCTGTTTGGAACTTGCTTTCAATGCCCTGCCTCAAAGGAGGGTGTCCCGGGATGTGGGTGTTAAGCTGTATTGCCAGGCTGCCCAGGGAGAAAGCTTTATCTGACACCGCTCAATTATGGCATGTGGAGCTCTGTGTTGCTGTCCTGCCCACAAGGCTGCTGTTTGTAAGGAGTAAGATGGAAGGCACACTTCCTAGGTCCTAGTCAGACACACAGAGCTGCAGGTCCCCAGCAGGGACTCGTCAAGCCCTGCGGCTCTATCGCCACCACACACTTCACCAGCTCAGGCCGGAACAGGAAGCAGGGAGTGAGGCCAAATAGTGATGTGGGTAGAACTCACAACCGTTTCCAGGTTCTGCAGAGTGAATGGACTCCCCCAGGCTCCATTCTGCCAGTTGGAGACTTGGCTTGTCATCCCTCTCAGCTTCAAGGCACACCAGAGTACATCAACACACCTGTCCCAGCCCCTCTCCACGGCCCAGAAGCTTCTTCATCACTAATCCCGGTCCGTCACCAGGCAAATGAATGGGCTCTCAGGGGACCCGGCCAGATTTCAGATGACTCAGTGTGGCCCATCCCACGGTGAGCCAAGCAGCTCAGAGCAGACTGTGTATGACCACGAGCTAGCAAGATCAGCCTCATGATAGAATATTCCATGGTAGATACAACAGCAACAAGATGAACACCCCTTAAAGACTAAATTCTTTTGTGCCACGAAGGGGAAGTTGGAATAAATGGGCCCAGGTTCCAGTGACGTCCGTCGGAGCTGAGCCATGTGTCCCTCCCACCCAGGCCTTCTCTTCTATCTGCCTTTGGGGACAGACTGTTGAAGGAAGAGTGAGTCACTGTTTGGCCACGGCTCCTCTTCAGGATTTAATCCCTTAATGTAAAAGAGAATTAGGCAAGAGGATTAAGAGATTAAATAAGATTCATTACTGATTTCTTAAAAATTGAACTCTGGCTTAAAATAACCTGTGAGGAGCAGCAAGTGAGCAGGTGAGGGGCAAGGGCACATCATCCGGAACGGCAGATGCTCTGGTGGCTTCTTGATAAAATCAACATCCAGCAACAACATGTTTAACAAAGGTCATTAATGTCTCTTCAGCCATGAAGGGAACTTAGTGACCCACCGTGGGAGGGGATCAGCCTCATGGAGGTGCTCCAGTCCTGGGTTGGGTTAGCCTGGGGTTTCTCCTCATCTGCTACAGGACCCACTGGCCTCTTTCCCAGTGGTGACTCAGCT